TGTGTGTTCATGTGTGTTCATGTGTGTGTTCATGTGTGTTCATGTGTGTGTTCATGTGTGTGTTCATGTGTGTGTGTGTGTGTGTGTGTGTGTGTGTGTGTGTGTGTGCACGTGCATGTGTGTGTGTGTGTGTGTGTGTGTGACAGAAAAGGGAAGAAATAGAGTTACATGATGTGTCTAAGAGTACAAAAGCATATGTAAGATCTAAGAGAGCAACATCTAACCATACTTCAACTTATGTTGCTCCATGCTGGGTTTCTTTGCTTTAAATTCTGTAATATTATCCAGACTAGGACCAACATAAAGTACACTATTTACCAAACCACTGTGTTGATGATGCCAACAAAAACCAGGCTCACAATACTCAGTAGTTCAAAAACCACACACAACATTCTAGAATATACTGTGAATGATAGAGAGAGTAGGAAATGAGGAAGAGGAGTGAATGAGAGAGAAAAACTGAGAGGCTTGGTGAGCGGGAGGAGGGGGGAGTAGGAAAGGCAGGAGGAAGGCTTTGCTTATAGAGAGAGGCTTAGTGCAGCAGAATATCTTACCGCTGAAAAGCAATTTGATACACTTGCCCCTTATTAACACCCTATTATTAAAATACCTCATAAAGTGAAACACTGCGACACTTCCAGTCTATAAACATTACATAACCCACGTTATATAACAACTATTATTCTGCAACACCCTTTATCAGCAGGCAACCGCCACAGCAGTCAGGAGCTGTTGCGGGACCCCCGTCTGTTTGATGCTCTGCAGCTTCCTTCTCAAACATGTGAAGTGGAACAGCCTTCAGAAAACATGAGCTCCAATTTGGGTCCTGACAGTCTTTACAAAGAGGACAAGAAATGGGAGCATTACAGCCACCTGCTGTTCAAGAAGGTTCACTACACTCAGACTGAAAATCAAGCCCAAAGACCCGCTCATGTCCTAAATCCATCATCGCTCACATACAACCTGTTTAAGTCCAAAGTCATGCAAAGACAGAAAAGAAGGAAACTTTCACCCTGCAGTCCTCAAAACTAAATGAAATCTAGTCACCCTTTTCTATGACGGCCTACACACCTGCATCATACACTAAAAAAAGAGCTGTGATGGAGTGTCTGCACGTGTGACACAGGACACACCAGGCTGCTGTAATCAATCACAGAGCGAAGGTGTGACGACAGCTGGACATGAGTAATGAGTCCCACCTGAGAGGATGAAGAAGATGCCGGACACAAAGGCCAGGATAGTGCGCTGAGGCCGGATGTGTCCGATGTTACTGATGACGAAGGCCGTGAAGACGAAGAGCAGCGACACCATGGGGAAGGGTGTGGCGGTCCGTACCATCTCTGTGGGGGGGGGAGAGGGCACAGAGTTACACAGAACTGATGTCATGTGTCCTCAAACTGCTGGGAGAGGTGAGGGATAGTGTTTCTGGAGATAAGATAATAGGTATTAGTTCATCAGAGCTAGAATATAAATTATGCTCAGATATGTGGAGATGCCGTAACTTTTATCACTCAAAAGGGATTGGAAAGAGTATTCCCTTCTTTGGTGAAGCGTGAAATTGCTTTTTAACTATGGGAGGGTTATGATATAAAACGTTGCTAGGACGTAACCACAGAACAAAGCAACACGGGAGAAACCAAACTAAGTTATAGCTTTTCAGTTAGTATCTTATCTACATTGAATATTAATTACAGCACTATTGACTTTAATAAACCAAAACTCTTGTTTCCTGAATCAAAGAAAAATAATTGATATTTTATATTTAAAGATTTAAAATTCCTTAAAAATATATCTTCATTCATGAGGATGATCGGCTTTTCTTAACCGCGTTAACGTAGTTAATCTGATCACTGCAGATGAACCAGTGCTATTACTAAGGGCTGCAACTAGCTAATACTTTCATTTATGAAACTGTTCATTATTGTCTAAAATGTATCATGATTAATTTCAAAATGTCACAGTTCCTCAGAGTCCAAGTCAAATCAGATAGTGTGTAAAGTCGCTGTTGTGTGTTTTACTCACTGAGGATATTTGCAGTGTTTTCAGTGGTGATCTCAATATCAGGTTCAGTGAAGTACTCCGATGCGACACATCTCCCGTTTTCTGCTCCTGAGACAAAAAAAACGTACAAACAATTCAATGTTGGGGTTTCCCTTAAGGACCAAAGTGAGTGATGCATGAGGAGGCAAAACAATGGCCTAGGCAACCATTATGTTTTGTGACATGCAGGTGCAGAAGCCCATTTCCTGTTTTCTATCAGTTATTGTGTGTTTGTATGCACACACATATAGCAGCACTGTACAGTCATCTTTTCATTTCTGAATGTGAATGTTTAAAGATGTTGGTGTATCTTCCTACCAGCCACGAAGCAAACTCTCCAGAGGCCTGAATGTAGCGCCATCTTCACCTCCATGCTCTGATTCTGCTGCAGGATGATGCCCTCCACCATGATCAGCCAGTAGTCTGTGGACACGGCCACCCCCACCAGCAGCAGCCCGCAGGCCCCGAACACCGTGGACAGGATGGTCAACGCACGGCTGCTACATGAACTCATCTGGGGGGGGGGAGGTTAGACCAGATGAGGAATTACAAGTCATAAATGCAGAGACACACAGAGGTACATTTGATAGGGGTCGTGTAGGGAGGTCATCAGGAACGGGGGAGACGGACATGTGACGCACACACATGCAAAGAGCTAGTGGCTATCGTCCTGTCTCGCCTTGTTATTGCTGAGGATGAGTTAGTGACAAATACGTTGGCAACCAATCCTGTTAAAGGTCAGAGAGGACCCAATGCAACAGATGATGACTGGACGATGAACCACTGAACTTAGGCAAGAAAAAGAGATAAATAGTGGAAACACACACACACACACACACACACACACACACACACACACACACACACACACACACACACACACACACACACACACACACACACACACACACACACAGATCAGAGCAGGGAGGAGAGGTCCTGTGTGACTCACACATGGTCTTTCTGTGATTTACTTATGGTTGACTGGAAAAGACTCCACTGCAGATCCTTTGAGCATGCTGTCTCTATGCATTTGTGAGTTTCCCTGAACGTGTGCGTGATTGTTTAGCCGCTATAGCCTCTGCTTAATTTGGACCACTGTTCAGTATCATCAGCTTGACACGAACAAATACACGTAGAAAACACAGAGCGGTGTCGGTGTTTACTGTAATCACAGTCGTGTTGTTCAGCACAGTATGCCTTACACTGAGAGGATATCTTCATGTTAAGCTTCACTGACGTGTTTTTTGCATTTTTATTTTATTCAAATTTCTCAAAGTCCAAGGTGAAGTCTTTAAATGTATCGTTTGGCTGTCCATTCCTGGAGATAATCACTTTAATGTGATGTAAAACACAGTGAATGAGTGAATGTCTTTATTTAAGTTGCTGAAGAAATGATTTTTCAACATGAACAATATACTTTTTAGGGTTAAGTGATTATCAAAATTGTTTAAATCTTTCTGCCGAACGACTTATCCTTCTGTCAAGTAATCGTTGCGGCTGAAAATAAGTTGTATTCGTTTTTAGCTTCCTTAAAGAAAAGGATGCTGGGATGGTACAATCTCCCAGTGGCTGCATGCACTTCACGTTGTGTTTCAGGCGCTGAAAAGGATACTTAAGTGATTTTAAATGAAATGTGACACAGCAATAACTGGCTGGAAGAGGCCAATTATTGGCATGAAGTAATGCACCTGCTCTGCAACAAAACACACTCTGACAGCCATCTCAGCCTTCAGAACATCGGCCCTAATGTGTACCAAGAAAACTTTCCCAACATCATTACAGAGACTGTGCTGGCGGACAAGAGGCTGAATGGAGCTTATACACCAAAGTCTGACCCTTACTGTCACAAGATAATTGACATTCGTTGTAACAGGAAATGTTTTCCCTTCTCTTCCGGTTCAGTTGGCAACTACTCAAGCTTTCCCCTCTTGTTCATATCTGACAGGAGGGAAATCAGGCATATTCTTCTGCTGATGTAACACTGCTGCTTCACGGTTTGCAAAGGGGCGTGTCTTTGAGATGATTTCCTCTGATGCAATGGAGGCTGATTTGCATACTTGTGGACTGCCTGCTTGACTGTTATCAATGAAAAATGTACAATGCTGCAGCTGACCAGATTCCTTTTTGTGTTTTTTTTTAATCATTCTCTGTAAACCATCACCTATGCGATATTACATCCAGTACATGACATTAACTCTCAGGGCACTGAACTCATCTACGGTACCTTGTATGTCTTGTGGAGTGAGCCATTTGAATATCAATATATGGTCAAATATATCATGTTCAAGCCGTGGAATGAATTCCTAGTTGACCGTTTTATCAGACACTTAAGAGCGCTTCGACGAAAGAAAATGAAAGCCAAACTAATGACTTAAACATGAGAACTACTTTATTCTTCTTCTGGTCTTTCTTTGTATGACAAACCTTTGAGTCTTTGAAAAGCAGAGTTATAATAGATACAGCCATTCTGCTGGGGAATAAACTCTTAAAGATTAAGCTTGGCTCCTTCTTATCTGGAAAGGCCATTGTGTGAGACGTGACCACTATAGAAGTTGCCTCGGCTTCTGTGCAGCACCGGGGATGAATAGAGCTTCTTTTGTGAGCGCGGCGTATGTGTAAGAACAGAGCTGGCTGGTGGTAAAGGGTACGCATCACAGAAATCCTCTGAGAAATGACAAGTTTGGGCATGTCAAAGCTAAAAGGAGAACATGATGCACAGGGTGGGTTACTAATGTGATGGAGAGATGTAAGGGGGTGGGGGGGGGTATGACCAACCGCAATCCAGTCGCACAAACAGGTTGGATAAAAGATGGAAGAGCAGAGCGATCAAGAGTACAACAATTACAAGTGACATTATGCAACCATCTAAGACACAACTGAAGATTTGTTTTACACTATCTCTCTTTTATTTTCCCTTTTCTTTTATCAGAGATTGTAAATCGTGCGGCAGGCCCGGAAGTAGCCACCGTGGCTGTCGACACTTTAGGTGGACAAGAGTTTGAGCCGGTGTGATTGAGAGATTTCAAGGTAATTCAAAAACAACTCACTTGAATGACATGTGAAATTACTAAAGGCAAAGAAAAGGGGAGATGTGAAGTGGGGGTGAACAATCACACCTGCAGCCTTTGGAGGATGTGCCAAAGTGGTTAGGAATGAGTGAGAATCAATTGGCGTTGCAACCCAGCAGAATTGAGTGGATGAGCCTGAGTGGCTCTTCCAGACTCATTCAGCCCCACGGACAGCACCCTCATCTCTCTGAGAAGGACTGCACCGTCAAACAGAACACATATAGATATAGATTTAGATTATATAGAAATATAGAAATACATCCTGCTGGTTCTTAATGGAGTTGGACACAAATGATTGGGACAGATTCACCTCTTCACCCCCCAGGCACTGTGTCCATATCAGCCCTCAAAACGTGTCTAAAGAGCTGTTGCAGTTTTGAGAGAAATGGCCATTGGGATTGAGATTGAGCAGAAAAAATGCCTGCTAGATTTGTGATAACTATCCTATTTTAGCGCTGGGAGACAGGCCCTTCGCTCCATCGCCCAGAAAGTAATGAGCCAATTGAATTTGTTAGATAGGAGCCACAAGGGGGACAAAAGGTTTAATTCTCTCTAATCTGTCACAATCTACAGACTGACATCACCTCTCAGCCTCACAGGAAAGGAAGAGAAAGAGGGAGAGATGCCAAGAGGAGAGGAAATGGAAATGTGCTGAAGAAAAGAGATCAGCAGAGAGAGGAGGATGAAACTATGTTTGGAGTCTTTGAGGCAGAAACAGCACGAGTACATGTAGATTTAGGTTAACACAGGGAAAGACCTTGGTCCAAAAAATGGAAGGAGTACCCAACATGGACGCGCACGAAGGGGATGCGCCTACACCTGTTTCAAACTAACCAACCTTGACTGTGTAGCGTCTTAAAAATCAGCCCGGGAGGAGGACGGAATCACTCAGGGAAAAATAAATGACTTCATAACGACTAACTGAAGATATCGTGACTCAATGGGTGGGTTGCTCATGATTTCTCGGAGCATTTCAGCTGCGCAGCCATACTCTGGTGAAACTCGAACCGTTTTCACGGAGCCGAGCGAATAGTTAGACAACGTTTTTTCTGTTAAACTACATTCATGTAATAGGGGTTCTGTATCCTGGTACAGGGCTGACTGAGGCAGTGATGTGCGCATAGGATTGTCTAACCCCCCCTCCCTCCTCCCCCCTGCTGTCACACACACTCACACGCGGAGTTTGGAGATGATAAACACAGATCAGCGAACATGTCAGCAACTCGCAGACAAAATGTGGATGAAATGGGGAGAAAACATGAATAGCTTGGCATGCAGGTATAACATTTAGCTCCGATATGTTAAATGAAAGATGAGCGGTTGTCTTTACGCTAACACGACATGAGGACACGTTATGAATGCTGCGCTTTTCACAGCTGTCATCACACACACACCAACACACATTTGACATGACTGAGTCAGGTTTTAAAAAGGCGTCATCGCCCAAAGAAACACACAACTGTAGTTAATTTAAAGAAGGGGGAAAATACTTACCCTGCCACGAGAGTCGTGCGCACACGTCAGTAGCCAAGAAACCTCACACCAGGGAGGCTTGGTTGGTTTTGGACTCTCTCCCTCTCTCTCTCTTCTGTGTGTTTTCCCTTAAGCCCCCTTACCCATCCTCTAAATCCCTCACTCTCTCTTTCAGTCAATCTGTCCCAGGCACTGCGGTGGATTGGTTCAGCGAGCTACTTTGGCTACAAAAGAGACATAGCAGGAGCAGGGGGGAGAGAAGTGTTGGAGAGAGAAAGGGAGAGATAGTGAGCGCGCGAGAGAGAGAGAGAGAGAGAGAGAGAGAGAGAGGAGGGAGAGAGAAAGTGAGAGCGAGGGAGAGACAGAGGGAGGGAGGGAGCGGTCATGTTAAACAACTATTCCTTAACTTATTGTCTATTTTAAGATGTGTTTTGTATAATGCTATTCATTAACGTATTTGTATTTTGTTGCATAATGTAAGTTAGATAGTGTAGTTGGAGTGTAGCTCTTTAAAAATATTTTTTAATGATTTTTATTGGCTTTTTTATTACATTTCATATCATTTTTACTTCTTATCACAGAGCCAGTTATGTATCAAACACAAAAGTGCACTGACCTGAGGAAAGGGGCTAAATACATGAAGGTTGATTAAGTTATTGAGACCATTTCTTGCTTGTTTTCTTAGAGTCCCTCAAATGTTTTACTTAGATTGTTAACAAAGGCTTACTTCATGTAATGGCTATGCTGTACTTAAGTGTACCAACAAAGCAAACCAATAACTAATTAACAGCATTACGTATTACATATCAGTAAAAGATCAGCTTTCCTGTGGTAGCCGTAGTTCATTTATGATCTTGTTAAAAACTTTGATTTAACAAATATTATGAAATCACATGAATAACAGTTAACTGCACAGATAGGAACCTATCACTTTCTTTATCTCTTCATCCCTTTCCTCCTCTTCCTCTTGCCCCCTCCTCCCTTGTCTCCTGTGGTCCATGTCCCTTAGTCTATTTTTAGCTGGCTGGTGGAGGAATCCTATATTTTTAGTAACGATATCAATAGTCTACAGCACACTCTGACCTCAGGGCATGAGCGAGAAAGTGAGAGGGAGCGAGATGAGAATGAGAGATTGAGACTAGATAGAAAAGAGAACAGGGAGAGGGAGAGAGAGAGAGAGGAAGAGAGAGAGAGGAAGAGAGAGAGGAAGCAGCAGTGAGAAAGAGGGATGATATCATGTCGAAGTGACAGTGAATGATGGACTGCACACACAACTTCGACTGGAGAGCCTGGAGGTTTAGTTACACAGAGGCAGATAGTGTCAAGGTTGGAGTAAATGTTGGGGTGAGGAGTTTAAAATCAGGCAGTCGACATCAGGTAGACATCAAACACCGAGCAGGATTAATCTTTTCAGAAAAGAGACTTTTCATGTTTTAATTTCTTTACAGTACCTCATTTAAATGTAAAACTGTAGGGTAGAATTGCATCACAGACGGTCAAAAGCCTGCCAGTACAATCTACAAAAGCTATCTACAATAATTACAGAAATCAATATGAAAACCATCAGTAAATGACCTTGTGACATGATTGATGACATTTTTCAAGTGTTATGGCAACAAAAGGACATCAGGCTTGTTTTATCTTCAAAACTAGGTTGTAATAATTTTAAGATTATATTGAGATCTGAGAAAACTCTCACGCTTTCACTGCCTGAACACCACTGAAGGACAAATAAGGGTAGAACAGATCATAATATTGTTGCAGACAAGATAAGACACGATGCAAGAATAAAAGGACAACTGTGGAGAGAATCAAAGAGATAACAGGAACAACAATAAAACCATTCTGACAATATGATTTACAGAGAATGACATAAAACAAAGCATTAAAGCATTTACTGTGCAGCACTGACAGGAGAGACAGACAGAGGAGAGAAAGAAAGGGTAGAAGACAGGGAGGAGAGGGAGATGGCAAGTTGATGAGATTTTAATGTGAAGGTCAACTTGTTATAACTCAGATCTCTATGGGAATATTAGTCCCATCATGATGCTGGAGGGGTTGAGGGGGGCGGGGCCCAAGGGGGGAGGAGGTGGGAGTGCGAGGCTGCTTCAGAAGAGGAAGATGGAGTGAAAGTGAGATGCCTGAGAGGTGGTTTTGCTGGTTCGACAACTACAGTATCACAGTAAATAGAGAGGTCAGCATCTTGTGTGTGTGTGTGTGTGTGTGTGTGTGTGTGTGTGTGTGTGTGTGTGTGTGTGTGTGTGTGTGTGTGTGCGTGTGTGTGCACATGCTTGAGATTGCACTTTTGAGAGTGAGTATGTGTGAAAGTGAGGGAGAGGGAGTGAGCGTGACAGAGAGGCGTGAGGAGGAGACAAAGCGAGATTGCATGTTTGTTTCTCAGTAGCTTTGCACAAAATCACACTTCACTTGTTCTTGTTTAATGATTGTTTCATTAAGTTTATTGCAATTCAGATTTTTCAGCAGATAAAAACAGAAGTTAACTCAACTAACAGACACATACATTATCTATTGTATTTATTGAGAGTATTGGTTAGTATTGTGTGTTGTGACATTGCAGGCGATCAGTTGAACTGGTTTGACCTTTTACAGTTGACCACTTTTAATGGGATGCACACTATTAATGCTAATCTGTATGATTTTGCTCCCCTGGATGAAAAATGGTTATAATTATCGTTATGCTGACATAGTTTGCTAAAAAATCTTGAAGAAGCTTAAAAGAAAAACAGATTTCTGTGGGAATTAGCCGGCTGGTTTGTGAGATAAGAGCACTGACATGGGATTATTAAACAGTATGTTTGCAGCCACCTGCCCTGCTCAGATAGTGTTTAATGACAGTGCTGCTATTATTTTTCCATGTATTGAACAGTCCCAGAGAGCCTCACTTTTAATTACGCCTAATCAATGCTGTGAGTATACGTCATTACACAGCAAAAAGCTTTATGGTATACACCACAGAAATAATAAAGTCCAACCCGAAAACATCATTAAGAGGCTAATTATCTAATACTGCAAATACAGATTTCAGTAGAATGATGTCATTAGGAGCACTTTTTTGCAATGTGGAGGGGCTCGCTCAAGAAGAATACAGAAATAAAATCCTGTGAACAAAAAAGGATGCAGCCTAAACTGTGGCAGTGATGTAAGGACACCATCTCACTGATAATAGAGTCAGGCCTAGCGGGCATGAGCTGGGCGTGTTGGTCTACGTTAACAGTCACATTGTGCCCAATGTGTTGTTTCAGCATACAGTGGGTCATCTGTGGTCACCGGTGTGACGTTCAACTGGGAGGTCGATCCAGGCCAGAAGAACCTGACGGAGCTCTTCCACAGGATGCCAGTCTAACACAAATAAAAAGGCTACTCACTCAGTTTGCATCATAGTCAACACTCAGACACACACAGTGAGACAGATGTGTATGAAATGCAAAAATATTAAAAAGTGAGTGTTTTGCCTGCTATGTGGCCTGTATAGCTGCTTGACTTAAACCTGACTTGTAATTGTTTTGTAAATACAGCTCCTGAAAACACATTTCTAATTAAAGATATGGTAACCGTTTGAAATGCATTGATTGTAAAGTCACACAGATAACTATATAACTATAGAAAACTAGTGTGTCAAAGCCTTTTATTCTAAAAACATGCATGCAAAAGAGACTCGTTTCTACAGTACTCCTATTTCAAGGGATATGTCTTTCAAAAAAACTCTAAGAAGGGAATCTACAGGAAAATACTGGCTTATTTGGATTGCTGCAACAGTTTCTGTGACTATCAAGATTGAATACAAACATCAAATAGAGTGCATGACTTTAAAGGTGTCTTGGCATTTTCATGTAAACGTCAGAATTTGGATATGAGAGGTGTCTTTGAAAGCTGCTGCTAGATCTCATGTTTAAATTCTTTGTTATAAAACTACTATTAAGAGGCTTAGAAAGGTTGGTGGGCTCCGTTTTCAAACGGCAGTGAGAGGCGAGGGGGCAAAGTCTGGGTTTTGGAAGGTGAAGTCCTGGAAGTCCTCCTGGTTGATGGCTGCTAGTACATCGGGGTCAGAGGGAGTGAGCACTGATGGAGCTGCTGTGAAGAACTGGTCAAAGTTTTCTCCTTTCTTCCCACCCTGATGAAAAAGAGGAGAAGATGAGCACGCTCAAATTTGTGATTAATACTGATTGTACACACACCCTCATCTTCCTCCTGAAAAAGATATTAGAGAGGCCAAATTATTAAAAGACTCCACCTACGTATCTCTCTTTCTCACCCACACCATCGTTTTCTATCCGAGGAGCTCTCTAACACACACTGTGTGCAGAAAGTTGCTCACGTCTCCTTTCCTGCTCCTTGACAGCCGTTCTGCTGGATGATATGAATCTCATTTGGCTAATGGGCCTGGCCTCTAACCCCTGAACATACTCAGCTCACTCAAAGCCCACCCCACCATTGGCCAGCAGGGACGCAAACTAGAGTGTAGCAGGCTAATGATGACACACATTTGCATATGGGAGGTGTAGGTAGGACCCCAAGGTCAGAAGGGTCCTGTCTGTTATGACTGGACTGTCTGTTCCTGAGCGCTCAAAGCCCTTCTCTAGGAACAGGCAGAGGTGATGAAAGAGAGAAAAAAGAGGGGAATAAGGGGAAAGGGGGGAAAGGGGGAAGGGGGGAAGGGACAGGGCCATTTGAACAGAGATAAGAAGAGGGGATGACATGGCCAAGACAATGAGGACGGCTGAGAGAGGATGCATGCAGGAAAATGAGGGAAAGCGTGGGAGTTTGAGAGAGAGGAGACAGATGGGAGATACTGAAAGCTTCAACTCCCTAAAAGTGCCCTCGGAGAGACAGAGATAGAAATGAAGGGTAAAGAAGTGAGTGGGAGGATGGTGGAGAGAAAGAAAGAAAGAAAGAAAGAAAGAAAGAAAGAAAGAAAGAAAGGAAGACTGACAGTTCTTGGTTGGAATGGCGGTGTGATCTCCAGTCTCTCCAGACGGTCCCAGTCGAGCCAGTCGAGCCAGCGGAAGAACGGATGCTCCCTGATTTCTCTCTCTGCGTCCAGTCCTCCGCCCAGACGCTTGGACGGGTGCTTGGTCAGGAGCTTAGGGAGAAAAAAAGAGAATGAAAGTGGAAAAAGGAAAGTCAAATACTTTGGTTATATGACGAGTTATATCTGCTCTGCTTTCTTTAGTCAACAATTTGCATGGTAAGCTTTAAATATTATTCAACCATAATTTATTTTAAGTGTTACATTATTAAATTAAAACATTTTTAATAATCGAGGCATTTATATAAATTGTGTCTAGAACTATTTGCTCTCTTTCTGAGAATTGAAAGACTAGCGCCATACGGGTGGCCTGTTAGCTTAGCTTAGCATTAACGCTGGCAACAGGGGGAAGAAGCTAGCCTGGCAGTGTATAAAAAGGTAACCAAACATGAACATGTAAAACCCCCTAATTTACATTTGACATATTGTTTGCTTAATCCAGACAAAACCCAAAGTGCAAAAAACTACAAAATCTATGAAGTATTAAAGGGTGTGCGGGAGTATTTCAAGGTAACAAGACTTCAAGTAGTCACTGCAACAAGCTAGAAAGTACTCTGGCAAACAAAAAACCCTCTTTAAAAGGACATATTAAACAAACAAAAGTGTTCCTTAGTGATCTTTAGAGATGCTTAAAGAAGGATGTTGCTACTTCAGCCAAAGCCAGGCTGTATTTATGCCAAACTAATGGCTCTAGCTTCATATTCAACAAACCTTTAGGAGCATGGTATCAATCTTTTCATCCAACTCTACAGACAATACATCAAAAAAGTGTATTTCCCTAAAGGGTTGAACTATGAATTAGTCAACCATTTGCATGGCCACTTGCTGTTTTTATTTTAATAAAGTTTTCAGAATAACATATGCATTTATACTTAATGGTCTGTGTGTTAAAATTCTATGAGTACGAAGAATGGTAACTCACTCCCTTGCAGATAGCGACAGCTTCACGAGTGAGACTTTTCGGGTATATGACGCTCTGTTCCATTATGGACTGAAACAGCTCCTCCTCATCTATACCATCAAAGGGTGGCTGGACGGAAAAGATGGGGAGAGAAGAAGAGAGAGAGAGAGAGAGAGAAAAAAACCATGAGGACCTGCGAGCAAATTGAAAGCAAATACATTGAAATGAAAGTTCTCTTGAAAGTCTTTTGAAGTGATTACAAAGGAGAGCACTGGAGGCGTAAGTGTCTGTGCACACGGCTATATTGTCAGGATTAAGATGAGTGTTACCTGTCCTGCCAGCATTTCATACAGCAGTACTCCAAAAGACCACCAGTCCACTGCTTTATCATAGGGCTGATATGCCACAATCTGCAAAGGATGGAGAGAACAGGAGAGGAGATAAAGCGGAAGAATGGCAGGGCAGAGATAAGGAAGTAGAAAGAGGACGGGGAGAGTGAGAGAAAGCGCAGTTGTGGAAGTCGGCTGCTCGGATGATATGCAGCTATCAGAGACAGCCGCAGTAAAATAAGCAGAGAGAGAGAGGAAAGTATGGCATTAGGGAGGGTAAATGTAGGAATGAGCTCAGAAATAATCGTGTTTGTCTGCACGTGTGTGTTGGTGTGTGTGTTTGTTTGTTTGTTTCACTGGTGTGGGTGCGGGGGGGGTGTACGAGGGAACAATTTCCAGCCCCTAGGGACGTTTATTGTATCTCTTCCAAAATGGCAGATGCAGTAGAATCAATGGGTGTTTACATAAGAGAGTCAATACCCAGAGGTACAATAGAAAGGTTTACAATATCAAAGACGTGCACAACAGTCACATTTTATCTTTTTGAGTCACTTTACTATAAATATACAAACCAAGCATGCTGGATATCTCCTCTCTTTCTCTGATTTGTATTTGTTTACTTCATTGAACGCACACACACATATTTCAAACCATCTGTAAGGCAAACATTAGAAAGCATGCAGGCCTAATATTTTGCATTTCAAAAGCTTGTTAACTAAACCACCTCCGACTGTTTTCTATTAAAAATGTGCATTATCATCAACAAAATACTTTTAAAATGAGTTCAGAGGTTTGTAATACTCTCGGGGGAGTTAATCAACTTAAGTCAATTGCGGTAAAAGAAAGGGGGAAAAACTGGTAAACCAAGGTCTCTGAAGGACAATCGTGAATTGTATTCTCATCGCACAAGCACACACCATGCTAATCGAATCATGTGGAGCTAATTATTCAAAAATTCAGACAAGGTCAGCAAGGACGGAGGAGACGAGAGGAGCTGCAGCGAAGCAACTCTCAGCGACGCTAAACAGGTCAAGAAAATGAAACCGGGAAGACGGGGGTGTTCAGGAGTTAGTCTGGACCATGACGTGAGAGCAGGGGGTACCTCAGGGGCGATGTAGTCTGGGGTGCCGCAGAACGTCTGCGTGGTGTCGCCCTGGAACATGCCCTCCCTGCACATCCCGAAGTCAGCTATCTTTATGTGGCCCTCGCTGTCAAGCAGCACATTATCCAGCTTGAGGTCCCTGAGAAAGGAGGAGACAGCCCACACAGGTAGGAATCATGTCGATAGATAACATCTTTATAAAAGTCATTAGCTACAAAAGACATGATCAATCTGTGTTACGCGTGTGTGACAGTGCCAGGGCCAAACCAGGCCGTGTTGGATGAGCAGTGCTCTCTCTACCTGTAGATGATGCCTTTGCTGTGGAGGAAGAACAGGCCGACCGCTATCTCGCCTGCATAAAACCTGGAGGCAGAAGAGAGGGAGAAGGGTCTCACTACTGGTTGCTTTATCTTGCCGAAAATTGGCCGAGGTTTTTCTGCGGAAGGGAGCTCAAGAGGGTGATGAAAGAGAGAGAAACCAAATAAATGAAAGGCTGGAAGATGAAGAAAGAAAGTTGAAAATGAACAGGGTAAAAACTGTTTCAGAGGATTGATCAAAGATTATTGATTAGATGAACAGCCTAGGGGAACATGTAGATGAAAAGATGAGATTTGTGGGAGGAGAAAATCAGCGGGAAAGGAAAAGGGCTGGTACTTGAGTTGATGACTTTGTACCAGTCATCAGTTGTAATGAACAAAGCGTAGCGACGAGTGTGTATGTGAGGGAACATTGGGGGATAAAAGAAAGGCCGAAATGGAGCCGGAGATGAGATGAAGAACGTGATTAAAGGTGAAAGAAAGGAGCTTTGTTTCTACATACGCTGCGTGAGGCTCTTTGAACTTCCCGACTATCTGAATGTGAAACATCAGATCTCCTCCGTCGACGTATTCCATCACATAATACAGACGGTCCTGCAGAAACAAAACACACACACGCATATACACACTCTCCATATATAATCCCCTCTTGTCCAAATTAAAAAGCAATCTGTTAAAACCTCCTCCAGGACCAGGGACCTTGTTAAAGAAAGCAAACTAATTATTTAATTTAATAATCAACATTCTCAAGCAACTGAAGAAACTCCTGGGAGGACTACGCAGCCAAAATGTCAGGCAGGTTTATGGACACTTTAATGATGTGGTTCATTCAGGACCTTACATCTCTTTCCACACACACAGACCTACACACACCTCAGTCTGGAAGGCGCAGTACAGCGATGTGAGGAAGTGAGGGCGGGTGGAAAGCGCCAGAACCCTCCTCTCCACCATGGCGCTCTCCGTGTCTTCGTCCTGGAAGAGAACGTCTTTCTTCAACACTTTCACGGCGAACAGACGCTCGCTGCCTCGCTCCTCTGCCAGCAGCACCTTCACAAAGGGGAGAGAAAGTTACGCTGAAAACAAAGAAAACAAAGAATTTTGAAGCAGAAACAGCACGTCTTTCGCCTGCTTGAGTCTGTAAATAAACACAGAGCTTATTTATAGACAACACTAAACCCGCTGTGTGCTAAAAAAACATTTTAAGAATTCCAAATTCCCTTTTTTAAGATTCCTCACCCTTAGCAGTTAAGTTCTGAACTGCCTGTACAGAACATTTTTTAGGTCATTGTGTTATGAGTGACATGTTGCTCTACTTAGGAAAAAACTAGTTCTGCTGTTTTAATAAAGATGATGTGCTTTTGAGGCACATTTACAATATTTTGAGCTTCTGATTCTGCTAAACAAGGAATTGTATAAAGTGCTGGTTATTAAAATACGCACTTACTAGTAGAAAGTAAAATAGTAGAAGAGAAAAAAAGATACGTTATCATGTTGTGCTTGCTTTGGCATGTTCAATACTGTGCAAATGCCCCCCAATAGTGACATAACAGTTTTTAATTAAAGCTGCTCTATGCCAGAAGATTTCAAGACATGTCAATGTTATAAATGAAAAAGCGAAGTGGCTCTCGTGTTTTTATCAGACATTCAAAACACATTCATCTCCGATTTTCTCCCTTCTTTTGAATTGGCTGCTAGCGGGTTGCTCTGAGATCTAATGATACTATAATTGTCTACAATGAGAGCCCCATGATCCGGGTTCTACTGTGGTTCAAGGAAAGATATGGTCAAGGGCACTGGAAAAATATTGACAACAACACTCTCTGAAATGGTCGGGCCCGGCTGTAACGGCCACCGGCTCGTGGGGAGTAAGGACCTCATTAAACTTTCAAATAGTGATGAGAAGTAGAGAAAATTACCATGATGTCATTTTTCGGAAATGAATGTGACTACACACTGTTGCTTTTGAAAAATAAAATGTCTGTGTGTGTGTGTGTGTGTGTGTGTGTGTGTGTGTGTGTGTGTGTGTGTGTGTGTGTGTGTGTGTGTGTGTGTGTGTGTGTGTGTGTGTGTGTGTCACTAACAAACTGCCAGTCAAGAGAAATCCTGTCGTCCTCTGTGATCTTGTCTCCTGCTCTTCCCCGCTCTCTCTCAAACTTACTCGCATAAAAATAGGACTCGTCACACTTCTGAATATTACAAATCTTACTAACACAATCGCATGTACTTTTTCCTCCTCTCCGCTCTTGTTATCCCACTTCCTCTTGGTCATTGTGTCACTTTCCGCAGCACAGTAATCCTCCCACTTCCTCTCTATCTGTGTCTCACTATCCCTCACTCAGCAGCCCCGGGGTCTGTCTCTCCTTTTCTTGGGTCGTTTTTTTTTCCCCTCACATCTTACGTAAGCCGAGTCTATTTCTCATGTCCTCTGTAGACTCTCCTCTGACAGTTATGAAACAGCACAGGGGGATTTCGGAGGAAGTGGAAGGACTCAAAACTCCTCTCTCTTCATTATGCCTCATCTACTGGGGAATTAAAGAGAAAATGAAGAGCACAGGCTCCCTGAACATGGACACCTCCAGGAGGACTGTGTGGCATGTAGGATGCCAGCCAGCTCCAGCTCACGACTGCTGACAGAACAAAAGAAGCTAAGGGTTAAATGAATCATTTGGCAGAAGTGAGAGAGACAATGAGCATGTTAGTGAGAACCTTTTTCTTCTCCAAAGACAGAAATTCCTCCCAGGAGCTGCTCTGTGAAATGCCAGCTGAAGGTCAAGTCCATCAATAGAAGAAATGATTTAAAGCCAGGAATAATCTTTGTTGATTTCAGCATGATCGACCTCTCGGAAGTCACCTATAGCTGTTGGGTCAGAGGATTGTGGGTAGATAAGAGGACAGTGTGTCGTGGCTGCTGTGTTTACCTTGCCAAAGCTGCCTTTTCCCAGCACCATGAGGAAGTTGAAGTCCAGGATGCCCACTTGGACTTTGGCAGGGCCGGGGGCGTGGGCGGGGAGGCCGGATGGGACAGGGGCCGGGGACAGGGCCACAGGGAACGTCTCAGACAGCGAAGGGGGGAGGGCATGAGGCAGAGAGGGTAGTATGCCGTCTGGCTGAGGCTCCTGGAGGATCACAGGGGGAGAGTTCAGACATGAATGGTTGGAAGCAGTCCAGCACAAAGCAAAACCCATAAACCCTACAAACTCCCTCATACCCCCTAGTTTAGCATCACGGTCCGGCAGAACAACCCTGCACCCTGGTGGAGGCCGAGGGTAACAGGGAGGGGAGTGGACCCTATATAATTTATTATCTAATTATCTAGCTTTAACTACAGGCATAAATCTTCTCACATAGAATAGAGAGGGAGAGTTCAAGATCCTGACCCAGTGTGAGCAGTGGCAGCTGTTGTTTATTATATCGAGAAAATTAGAAGATGATGAATGGTAATGATAAAGACATAAACGGCTTCTGCCCTCTGTTGAATACAGTAATAAATATGTCTTGTACATCTTGGTCAATATGGGAGACCAAGGGATTTTGTCCGTCCTGGGGTAAGCCTCCTACCTGGAGGTCTGGGTCTGGCACTGGGATGTTATAGTACTCTCCTTCATCTTCGGCCAGCAGTTTGAACCAGCCGCTGATGGGACGCCTGAAGATCTCACTCACTCCGAATGACAGCGCTCCCATGAAATCGTTCCTAGACGTGCGGTCCCAGTCCCATACCTCCACAGACAGACGCCTGTCCCACTGGGTACCGCGCACTGAGCTGGAGACAAACACAACAACTCTACATCACTGGGGAGGGCTGTGTAAGCAACACACCAATGCACAAAGACACAGATTGTTTTTCTCATTTTTTCACCTTCATGACTTCTTGGCAATTTTCAAATATCTAATTTTCACAGCACTCAAGAATCATGCAAAGGTAAAGAGAGTTAAATCAGTGATGTTCAATAAGGAGGCACCATCAACCTTACATTCAACACTCCTACCTGTGTCTTTACGTGTCCTTTGTTTGACTCAGTAAATCTTATTTCTAGGACATTTTATTTGATCTAAAGCACGTTTTGTCCCAGACTTGTGTATGTTTTCCACCTTAAATTAAAGTTGGCAAGGACTCACAAGGTGAAACTCTCATTCCAGATGGGATTGAGTGTTGAGCGGATGGTCTTTGTCTTCTGTTTGCTGTGGCTCCTCGGGTCTGGAATCAATTTCAGTTTAACATACGGGTCTGACAGGCCGTTTGGATCCATGGGCATCAGGTTACGAGCCTCCCGCACTGAAGACAAAAGTAGAATAATGGAAAGCACGAACAGAGAAATCCTTCATTGCCTGTGTAATCCTACTATTTGTTTTAAAATGATCCAGCTGGTCCTCTCACCTGTGACGAAGACATCCTCCTTCTCTCCTCTCACAGTCAGGTGGATCCTCCCCCTCTGCTCTGTGTGGTCTTCACCACAGAGACTGGGAACACTGGCCTCACACCGTCGATGGACGTTCATGTCACAACCTCAAGGACAAACAAACACAAGAATAAACAAACAGATGCAGGGAAAACTGAAATGAGGCACATATTAATAAGACCAGAATGATACCCTGTTTCCTGTTATCACACTGTCAAATAAAGGTGAAACATCTTTATTTTTATATATTTTATACATGCATATGCATCTTGTTTTTGTTACTTTGGAAGATTAGATGTTGCCCTGACTAGTATTTAATTTCCTTGACATTAACTCTAACCATTACTGCTGCATCTAGCACTACATGCCTAACAACCTCCATCGTAAAACTTAAACAGTTGTATTTGCATACTTAACTATAGTTAGATACAATTGATAAAGCTGTCATGAGTTACCTGTATTTACATGGTCCCATAATATAGTTTATTCAAGCATGAAGCATTGAAAAAAGGGGGACACAGCTAACCTGCCTCTGTCTCACAGTAGCAAATAAAAAGCTTTAATAATGGTCTAATTTTATATAATTTGCTTCAAGGGCACAACAACAGTTGTGAGAGAGGGTTATGTATGGGTCTATCTCTTAGCCAGGCAGACTCTCTTCTTGGAGTCTCCAGTGGCTGTAAATCCCCTCATCTAATTTTCTGCAGGAAAGTGAATAAGCATATTTCCCCAAACTACCCGAAACATAAACTTAACAAAGTCGACTCCACATTGTGGAGGCTAATTTAGTCAAGACCAGCTTTATTTCCCCAGCTGGGAGGCTACGAGTAACAAAAATGTGCCTGTGTGAACTTATTCTTATCCACACAACATAACAAATACAAGAATGCTCGGATTCATGGCACTGTGATGTGTGGTGAAACTCACTGCTACATTTCATTCCCTGGTGTATCAGGCCGTACAGCAGCGAGCCACAGTGGTCGCAGAAGGTGGGACTGGAGTAAGTCTGGACCTTAAATGTGTGTTGACTTGCCAGATCCTGCAAGACAACAGAAACAATCTGCATTGAGAACACGCACACAAACACATATACACACTGCATGACCAGATACTGCGAACACTCACACATTTACACACATGCATGCACGGGTATGATAAGTGGAGAGATGTTGAGTGAGGTATTCATGGACGAGCCAATTAGATTTCTCCACTGGGAGAAGACATATAAATGATAGTGCATCTAGGCAAGGCTATGTGTGCGTGTGTGTGTGTGTGTGTGTGTGTGTGTGTGTGTGTGTGTGTGTGTGTGTGTGTGTGTGTACACTGTGCAGAGAGGGATGAATCATTTTTATCTCTCTACAGCTCATCAAACCCCACCACCACCCTCTCCACACACCACCCTCTCCACACACCACCTTCTCCCAAACAGTTTTCCCTCTGAGCAGCTATTTAAAATCACCATCACCCTGTTTCTCCTCTGCGTGTGAGCGCTTCATGCTCTCATCCTCACACACACACACACACACACACACACACACACACACACACACACACACACACACACACACACACACACACACACTCCCCTTGACCTAATTTCTAAGTATATTTGGCTGGCAGAAAAGAAAAGGCAAATCTCCCTGAAATCCTCAAAATGCCACAGAGAGGAAGACTGAGCAGTCTTTTGCTCTCCCTTTCTCTAATTCCCCCTCTTATCAGCCCCTCCGCCTTTATCTCCCCCACTCTCTATCTCCAACTCGCTGCATCTCTGAAGCCTGGCAGGATGACATGAGTGCAGACGTCACAGATGGGACAAGGCTGTGCGATTTGAAGGATGCATGGATTGACGGGTGAGTCACGCACACGTGTTCCTGTCACTGAGTGGATGGTTAAATGTGATGATGACGGGCTGAATCATGAATAAAGTGCAACAAAAAAAAGGATGTAAGCGGAAAAGGAAAGTCATATATTTTCTGGCACATCTGCTTACATCTGGTTGTGGGCCCGCCACAGAGCCGGGGCAAGTGAAGGTCACTAATTCGTGACATCTTTTGTGGACCACAAAACTGCAAACTAGGGGAAAACACAGAGAAAAATATCTCTACTATAGAAGCAGTCACACTGAAAACATTATCTGAGAAGATTTAATACCGTGGAAAGAGACAATAACACTGGATTTATTTTATTTATCTCTACCTTGACATTGGAATCCCTGTTTGCCGATGCCCCTGAGTGAAAAAAGAACATTGATTAAGACTCAAACACAATCTTCCCTTCTCCTCTTTAAGGTGAAATATTTTGCTTCTGAGACTGTCTGCCAGCCCGGAGTATAGATTAAGCTGCCAAGACAGGGACAGAGGTAATGCAGTTGAATTTTTCCATTCTGTATTAAGACCAACAGACGTGCAAGCACAAGTTGAGAACAAAGTCTTTCTCATCAAAAAAACGAAATTTGATTAACAAGTAATTATGTTTGAAGTTTAGGTCTAGGCCACACTGCGGACCAGGTCAAGTGGTGTCAATCAATATCTCACACAAACACATGCACACACAAACACGCACACACACTGCTCTTGTTTCCAGAACTGTGGTGTCGGCTAGTTTCCAGTGTCTCCTTAGAGCTTTAATTGAATAATTAAAGCCATTGATTGACTAAAGAGTCCACTCAGCGGCTTTCCTGCTGTGAATCTAGTTTTGATTAGCAGGCAGAAGAACAAGCTCCTCCACAATCATACTGGAGAGGCCCATGGGTTCATAGGAAACTGATCATAAACACTGATCTAAAATCAGTTCAACATCTGCCTAGTAGTAACAATTATAGACGGGGTGGCAGAGGGTAATCTGATCCTTGATCAGAAGTCTCCGTCTGCAGCAGTCTGCTCTTTGACCAGCAGAGAGCATTAGAGAGCCAGGTATGGATGTGGAGAGAATCAACAGCTTAGCTTGCTGGCCATATTTCACAAGGAATTCAATGCATATTAAATTTAATAATGCATTGAAAAACCCATACAAATTAAATATAATCGTTGCTATTAAAAAAAAACATCATAAAAATCCTATAAAACCAACCAGAATATTCAAAAACTGGAAAACGACATATTTAATTAAAAGGTGCAAATAATGTTAAGACAAATTAAAATCTACATTATAAAGCAGAGAAAACCCTGCACCTTGTCTTTGTAAAAGGCCTTTCCCAGATGTTTTATGTCGGAGCATATCATTAATGTGAAGTTAAATTAAGCTGTTTTAGTTTCAGGTATTATTATTGCTGCTCCACTGGCACACTGTCCTGGCTTACTGGGTTATTTTAATCCATATAAAGAGTCATTGTTCATGTTAGTGTTTGCACCACCACATACAATGACAAGTCAAAAATGCCTGCTGTGAAAGAGGCTTGTCAGCTGTCTACAGTATATAGGTCAGTCTTAAGTACACCTTGCCTTAAGAGATTTTTGGTGTAGGGTTTAATGTGTTTTACTTATGACCCTGAGAAGAGCCGGACTCCAAAAACACACTGGATTAAACACCAGTGTCACTTTTTTCCATTGAGGACTATATCAATTAATTCATACTGAAAGGAGCTATACAAGAGACAACCCATTCAATTTTAGAGACTGACTTAATAAACTAGATATTTACATTTAAAAATTAGAACTACCTTTAATTAGTCTTTAATTAATCCACCAATCTCCCCAGGGTCTGTGTGAGAGGCGAGCTGCTGCTCTGACATCCTGCGTGAAGGAGAAGTTTTCCCTTAAACTGAGCGCTACGACGTGCAAGACGTTAGCCAGTTGGAGAAATGTCCTGAAAGCTACCCAGAGGCTGTTGGCATCAGCACAGCCCTGCATCCAACATACACTCCCACCATATGTTCAAAAACACACACACAAAAGCCCATACATGCCACACACACAAAAGCCCATACATGTGCCCCACACACACACACACACACACACACACACACACACACACACACACACACACACACACACACACACACACACACAATATACTTGAGTACCGTGAACTGGTGTTTTGTGCAGCTATTCATTTTTCTTTTCTTTTCAAATACTGCCTAGCCGCTAATTGTCAGAATATGTTATCATCTGCATTGAGCTATAAATACTTTGCTGATAAATGTGATACAAAGAATCCCTGTCCTGTAATCATTGTGTACTTTTTATTAGCAAAGCAGAACTTTTTTCAGCCTTGTGACAATGCATTTATTCAACCATCCTATTTTCTATTTCTGTCACGATTTCTCCCATCATTACCACATGCTTTATATCGCGTAAGAAGCAAATTACTTTTTAAACCCACAAAGGAGCACTAAATCATTCAGTTTATCTGAAAAATTGAAAGTCAACACAAGATAAGCTGTTTTCACTGAACAGTGATGAGTGTAAACTCCAGCAGTTTATAAAATATTTACTGATCTAGCCGTACCTTGAGCAACCACAACAACTAATTACTACTTCCATATAAACACTTTAAAATGCCTACACTGCAAAACAAATATAATTGTGAATTAGTTCTATTATTTCCCGAGTTCATTTTATTGCTTCTTAAAAATCAGCACTCTTACAGCACTTTGGAGCATTTCTGAATGCAAAACATTGAAATCATTTTTATATAAAGCAATTCTTTTTTCATGGATTTCACATTCAATGTGTATCCACTGTTTTATGCATGGTAGTTCAGTTTATTCTAAACAATGAGTACAACTCGGCCTTTGAAATAGTTTAATAAGGTTTATGTGGCCCTGGAAGAGCTTTCCAAAGACTCAAATATAATGCTAATGGTGGTGGTACCACATGGGTGCTGATGAGCACAAGAGGCCAAAAGGGTTCATCTTCCAGGTACAGAAAACCCTGATCCTCTGACGATCTTATGCATATTCTTAAACCCTGCACACCGGAGGCTGAGTCTTGGCTCATTTATGACCAGAGGAAGGGAATAACTCTGGATCCCACTGTTAGAACATTTTATGACCTTTAGATGAGGGCTTTACAAGTGTTCATACTCGGAAGTTGATTAAACATCAAATAAAACATCATATATACAGACTTTTATTTAGCAATGAAAGTCAATATGTCCCGTTGTCATCATGTGATAGACCTCAAAGTAGTAATTTAACAGTTTGGCCATAACAAAAATTGGCTACTAAGCCAGGCTCTCTTCCTGGATGGCTTGGACAGGACCCAATGAAAGAAGAAACTGAGATGCTTTATGGGAATGTATAGAGCGTTGTTCATATATTACAGAGTAAAAGTCAGAATATCTTATTGAGTTCTGACTATTCTTGTTGTATTCTGTACCTTGTGATTCGCACAACTTTATTGAAGTGATACATCAAAGAGGGCCCTGCAGGATCTGAATAATTCCTACTTTACTGCTGCCTGTGAGTGTGTTTGTACATTTGTGCATGTACTGCTACTCTGTGTGCATTCATACTGAGAAGGAAAGCTCAAAGCTCTTTTCTTAATTAAAGTTGTACTTGTGTGTGTGTGTATATATATATATATATATATTCCTGGCTCCTGTGTTGTGTAGGCTGCAGTGTGGAGATGAGGTTATGTATAGGTTCAGGTCACTGTGGCTTAACAGTAGGATGTTTCTCCAGCATGCAGCTGGATCGGGTGAAAGAGAAAAAGTGCCAGGAAAGTCAGATTCAGAAGGAGTAGTGGGATGCCTGAGGAGGCGGCTTATCAACTGCCAGGTCACTCTCTGTGTAAATGTGTGTGTGAGTGTGAGTTTGTGCGTGTGTTACCAGATGAAGTCGGTGCAGTGGCTGCAGAAGGTGGGCTGTTTGAAGAAGCGGGCCGTGAACTGGTGGTCTTTCACCTCCACAATCCTCTTGTGTTTGAGCGCTCCCTTCCTCTGGAACACAGGCACTCTTGGTGGAGGGGAGAGGGGTAAGGGCAGCGGGGGGGTCGCCGATGTAGGGGAGGCCAGCGCCAACGGGGAGAGGGATGGGGAAGGGGAGACCGGGGTCGACATGATGCCTGGAGGGTATGGTGGAAAAAAAGGAGAGAAGGAGGGAGAGGGGGGAGAATGCTTGATGAGTGTCAGTAAGGAAGGTTCAGAGTAGTACAGGCGAAAGACCTTGAACATCGGAGAGGCAGGAGTGAAGGAAGCAAGGACAGGGAGGAGGAGCGGGAGGAAAGTGAGATGGGTCATAGAGTTGTATTAATGGCACATGGGACAGAGCAAGCAGTGAAGGAGGGACGTGAAGGAGAGAAAGATCGAGAACCAACCGGAAGTACAAAATAAGACAGAGAGAGCTCAGGGAAAGCGGCAGGAGCGAGAGGGACGGAGGAAAAAAGAGGTGTAATGATGGAGGCATGGAGGTTAATTCACCAACGGAGACAGAACTCTCCTAAGAGACTCCGTGACGCTAAACGATTAGAGAGGCTCGCTGTGTGTCCCACATACCACCTGTCCATAACTACCTCTCCCTCTCGATGTACCCCCTATATCTACATCCCCCTGGCAGCTATGACTACCCACCCCACCCTCTATTCGTCATGTTAACTGTACCTCCTGTTGCCATGTCAACAACACCCCCACCACCTGCTCCAATATTAGAGCCTGAATCCCATCTCGACTTCCTGCATGGCCTTATTAGCAATTAGTCCCATTTCTGAAATAAAGTTCGGACTAGAATAAAATGTGAATGTCTATAGGGGATATGATACGCTGGGAAAAAGTGCACAACGGCAAATATTAGCTGGAGATACTGTGGTGCAAGAGTTGCATGCTACTAAATGATAAATGAAACACCAACAGTTTTAATGAATAAATAAAAAAGCCCATAGCAAAAAATACATCCATGCCATGATGAAAGGATGGTGTTTCAGCAGAGAAGTAGAAGCCAATCAATCAAAAGGGTGAAAGAGAAGAATGGTAAAAAAAATATGAAGTGCTCAAAAAAGTGCAAAATGACAAGAAGAAAAATATTTTCTGAAAATGTGCACATATGGTGAAGATAACAAAGACACAATACCTGGAGATTTGTGGTGGCTTTAGAGGAAAGGCAGCTTCCTTCTCTTCCTCTCTCCCTTTCTTCTCCTCACTTCAAAAGAAATGCTAAGGTATCCCACCTGTAGCTGGTCACCTCAAAAAAAGAGAAATACAGGAAAGAAAATACCCAGAAAGCAGTACGTTGGCTACAAGAAAGAAATCAACCAGGGAAAAAAAGAAAACAGAAAAGAAAATCCTGTTACAACAAAAAGCGAAAGCAACAAGCGTTTCAGGAGATTCGAGCTCTCTAGGAACCAAAGATAGAAGAGTGAAGTGATATATATCCGTTAACCCAGAGGCAGGGTGAGGAGGAGGACGAGATAGAGAGGTGGTATTCTCTTTCCAAGATTGATTCTGTTTAACTAAGAAGAGGACAAGAGATGGAGAGAGTAAGAAAAAGAGAGAGAGAGGAGAATTAGAGAGATAGAAAGAGAGAGAGGAGAAAGATTGAGGGGAACAGGCAGCGATTCATTTTGAAATCTGGGTTACTTCTCTCAGGAGAGGGTAGGGAGTTAGAGGAAGGAGGACGGATGACAGAAGCTGCCATTTTGCCACCACCAATACAGTATGGACTCGGGAGCGCCAACTGTCTCTCACTTCCTCTCGTGACAGACGGAAGGAAGGAAAAGAAGAGGAGAGAGAGAGATAGAGGGAGAGTATCCAGTCTGGCAGAAAAGAGCAGAAAGCTTCAGAGGTTGAGAGTCAGAGAAATCTCTAATTAAGCACAGCTAAAACGTGAATTAATTGGTTAAAAGTCATGGAGTTTGCAGCAGATCCAGATGACTGAAGGATCAACAGGCCTGTGAAATAAGCAACCCTGTTAATCTTTTCTGCAACAGTGCGTTTAACTGTGTGTTCACCGCATCTGAAGTTTGTTCTGATATCACAGCAAGTGGTGACATGATGACACTGATCCACTGTGCACTGAAACCAGGTCAGCTAAGCCTGATGGGAAGAGTAGTTTCCAAGAGAGAGGGTATGTTTGTCCATTGATGGTACTCACACAAACACAAACCTACACCTACAGACACACACTGGACGACAACATTTGTTGACATTTTGGGAGATACACTCACTATATTTATTATTTGCAGAGAATAATTCGATACTCATGTTGGTAGCTGAAATATGTAGCGATGGCCAGAAGTTGGTTAGCTTATCAATCGGCTATAGGCTGGCTTGATCTGAATTGGGTAAAAAATTTCTACCATCATCTCTAAAGCTCACAGATTTACATATGGTGTTATTTTTGTATAATGTTAAAAGTGTAAAAACAACAATTTGCTATTTTTCAGCTCAGTTTTATGCCACACTATGTATTGGCCAGGACCAGTTGCCAGGCAACCGTCAGAGACCTAGACTACCATAAAGTGTAAATAAGTGAGATTTAGTTTTGTTTGTAAGTAGATTTTTGTATTTCTTTTTTACCTCCTAGACAGAGCCAGAGTAGCTATTTGTAGGCCATGGCAATCTTACCAGCCAGCAGCTTCATGTTTACCATACAGACTTCAAAATGACATCATCTGTTCATCTAACGAATCGAAAATAAGCATTTCCCAAAATGTCAAACTATCCCTTTAACTGTCAAACTCAATGGCTTCCCTTGTGGACACGCTTATTGCCCCCAAATGGTAGCTGAGCTCCCGTAAAGGCATGTGGACAAATGTTTATCCCCACAATGTCAGTATTACAAGGAGGCGACACGCTCATAGCCACATAATTAATCACACTGCATGTGTGCACGTGATCTATGGACAATCTCGGGAGAAGAGAGCAGCAGGCGGGAGCAGGGATGCAGGCATGCGGAGGACGAAGGGGTGGATTGGAGTGGGACGCAGAGACTGAGAGAGGGAGCGAAGGGTTGAAGGTCTAATTAATGGAAATGTAGGTTATTAGTCTCCTGATGAGGACACTGGCAGAGAATTAATTAACAATTATAATTAGCAAGATTGTTAGAGAGCAAAATGGTGTCAGCCAGCAAGATAAGAATGAGCTAGCATAACAGAGTGTGTGTGTGTATTGGACACTGTCATTATTACTGTATGTTAAAAAAAAACAGCTGTGTGAACATGCCCTATCTGACAATGATATGTCATTTCAGCACAAGTGATGCGGAACAAGCAGCTGATTGGAAAGGATAAGGGGCTTTTACCATCACCAGACTTTTCTAGAACGAAAATCAATGTCATACATTTCGGACCAATAAGACTGCCATCACTCTTATCTTGGTTGAGACGTGTTTTTGTTCTGTTGTCACAAATAAATGAGGTAGATCTCCTCACATTGAGAAAGAGAAAGAGAGAGGGGGGGTTCCTAGAAATAAGAGTTTGTTGACCTCGCATTCCTTAGTAATCAGTGCATTGATAAACAAAGCACATAAACAGCACACAATGCTTCCCTCCCTTGCATTGTGATGAGTAAGCACTTGTGGCTCTAAAGTGTCTGTATCAGTGTGCATTTGCCATAAAAGCGAGCTAGTGTGCAGAGAGCCAATGATACATTAAGGCTGTAAACTATGAAGATGTACACACACAGCAGAATGAAAACCACACAGATGCAGCCTGCAAGATTAACAGCAGAACTAAAACCCTATAAAACAGAGAACGAAGCTGAGATAAAATGAAATATATGGATGACAACAGGGGGAAAAAAGGAAAACAAGGATGAATCAATGAACATGGCACCACTTTAAAACTACAATCTGTCTCTTTACAATAATCACTATTAACAGACAGTATACTGGAAGCAGTTCATTTCTGATCAGGAGCACCTTTCATATACCCCAGCCCCCGCTCTTTTCTCTCTCAGTCTACAGATGGCTATTTTGTTATTTCTGACCATGGCTTAATGAAACAGAAGATTCTCCTCCGATGGAATCTTTTTGGGGAGCAATCAGCACTCCACCGATTACATGCATCCATTATCACCTAACGAGTGCTCACTCGCATCAAACAGCGGCTTCAACCTGGCTTGCAGGCTTTCTCCTCCAATGAAATTAAGGTAATTTGACTTGCCTAACTGTTGTTTGTGGAATCAGGGGAGAAGTGGTAATCATATCTGCCTGTTAAATTTATCTCTTCAAAACCAATTGGCTCAGTTAGCTTGCACTGGTTTTCTATTGCTGTGTGCTTATATTTGCCTCTTTAAAGAAGAGTGATCTGCTGTATTTTTGGAAGAGCGCAACAACCCTACACACCAGTCAGATGAGACACTTGGCAAGCGACTAGGGCTTATCAACATGGCCTACACACTCTCAGAACTGAAGCAAACAAGCCTGCTCTCCATATTTATTTTACTGCTGACCTTCCTCTCATTGCAAACAAATACTGCTAAAATGGAAAACCATACGGACAAGTGAGGGACAGTCTTGTGCACTTAATCAAATCAATCAGATAAAATAATGGATTTTGGCTAGGGATGGCTCAGGAGGGACATCCACTCATCTAGGAGCATCTAAAGCCTGAGAATCATTTCATGCACTTCAGTTTAGTGTCAGGCATTACGTTAATGCCCTATGAGTCAATAACCTATGGACACTTTCCCCGTTTTCTTTAAGTACCACCACTTGTGTTGACTGTTTTCAGCTGAATGACTATCAATTGTTATCACTAATATTGTAATGGTTTAGACAGGGCAAACTGCACCACCTGCACCTCGAGAAATTAAGTGTGAGGTATCACTATCTTCTTTAATGTTGCTTCAATATAGTGCTTCCTCTCATCATTGCTCCAGACTTTGTTTGGTTATAAATTGTACATGTTGTGGAGGAAAATGTCTGCTGTTTGGTGTATCCCCTGGCATATTTTGTTATTAATATGATCCAGTTTTGGCCTTTTTACCAGGAAACTTTTTTTTGTGGTCCTTTTTTGACAAACTGGAGTGTACACCATAGCAACATATTATCACATGAGCAAATAATTGTCTAATTACGCATCAAGCGCTCGACTAAATTAAGCCCATTATCATTCATTTGATTCGTGTTTCTGGACCTCCTGATTCGTTTTAGTACAATATCTGTTTCTGTCTCCACTAACTCCTGAGGGAAATATCTCTTTAACAGCTAAATGCTCCAACAGTTCACCTGCTAGTTGCCAACTGTGTCTGTCTGTGGTTTAGTGCTGAGCAGGTACTGAACAATTAGTCTTTTCACAGAAAACAGCTGCCAGACGCTACATTTGTAGAGCTTTGCAGGCCGTAAAAAAACAAATAGCTGAAGGACACTTAAACGCTCAATAGAGCTGAGGGGATCTCAGGGTTGGCTGAAGATTCTCATTGGGTTCAGGTGATCAACTTATTATATAAAACGTATTGATCAACGCCGCTTGATTACCGTAGTTATCAATATTTCATGATTTTATATATTTGACCCAAAATAAAACCCTCGCTTGGCAGATCCCATGTCTATCGAGGGCTAAGCCTTGAGTATGATTAGTTCAGGACCAGGCCAAGACAATAGATCATCAACTAACATGAACAAAACGGTGATGTGTGCTAAAATGTGTTACCATTCACTGTATGTTCAAAAATACTGACAAGAACTCAAAGCCTCAGCTGTAGGATGCAAAACCTTTGTTACTGCTGCAGGCAGGAAGACAGGGCTGTGAACTGAAGGTACTCAGGGGGAAGAACGAAAGCAAGAGGGCCGGAGATTCAGGGTAAAAGGGGCATATAGATAATGAGGCGAGGGGAGAACAAGGTACAGTCTGAGGATATATTAAACTTCATCCCAGTTATCCAGGATGAATTCCCTTCGGGTCAGTGCCATTACACATTCCTGTATACGCCCACACACGCACACAGACACACACTGGCAAACAAGGATGTGTTATAAATAAATGGTGTCCTAGATGTGGTGGTAATGTTTGTCCAAACATACTGGCCACAGCACACAGTAAACTTGTGTCCTTTTGATGTTACCTCTTCATCTCAATGACACAAAGCTTCAACATGACATACAAATAAAGTAGAACAAATTGTTACCTACATTGCTAAACTGATTTGTCCAATAACTGTTCAGTTAACTCAGAAAGTGTATTAGCAATAGACAATAAATTATTTATTTAAACTTTTTAAGCAACATTTCCAAACTTTCTCTGGCTCCAGGTTTTGTAATGTGCTTGTGCTTTCCTTTGGACTGTTGGTTAGGCACCTTGGGTTTTAGGGAATTGTTATTGGGATGTTTTCAATATTTTGTCATGTTATTGAAACAAAACGAATCAATAAAATATTCATATTGATGATGACAATAATTCTAAGATACATCCCTAGTCGACATAATTTTTTGATAATTAACTAAAATATTTGATGTATCTCTTTGCTGGGGCGCGATGAACCACATGAGCATTGTGTACAATGAGTACAACAACAGGCAACACAAGCTGCTTCAGTCTGTATAATAAATTGAGTTTAAACATCTGAAGAGATCCTGGGCAACCAAAGTAAGGATATGAATTTGCATTAATTGGGTATTTGCATTATTGTGTAAACATACTGTTCATTACAACTACTCAAACAGCCACATATTGTACAGCTGCTTCTGCAGGGAATAATAAAAAGCATGCCAACATGCTAGCAGACACACATGCAACAGAAACAAAAGACATGTTTGTGCACATGATCTCTCACACATGAACACACAGTGAGGTAGCTGTAGGTCAGTTAGCTCATTTGTCCCTCGTCGTGGTCCAGTGTGGCGCGTGTGAAGCAAGAGATTGGCTTTGTAGCTGAGGGAAAAAGCACGAGATGAAAGGGTGCTTCTTGGGTGTTTTTTCTTTAACTTCAGAGATCAAGCCGATGGGTTGTAGAACCCTGCGGCGCTGCACACATGATGAAAGGGAAACAGCTCTCCCCTTCCACATGTACTGCACGTGTGAGAGCAGTGTGTGCAGATGTAAATTAATATAGTTTTTTAACTACTCAGCATATTTCTTAAACATAAGAATTAAATGTAAGGAAAACAGCACAGTCAGGAAAAGAGAACCGAAAGGAACAATAGAGAAATTATCAATAAAAATGCGCTAGAGAGTGACATCCACAGGGACAACAGAATGATTTTAAGGAAGGGATAACCAGAGATAGAGTAGAGCCGAGAATAAATGAAATGACAGAGTCAGTCAGGGGAAATAGAATTGAAAGAAAATCAAAACAGAGAGACGAAGGGGAACCTGTTATTGGCAGACTACTGAGAGAGATGGAGAGAGGTGTGCAGGAGCATAAGGGCCACTGCACTGCATAGCAAGAGACAGTGCTAGTGTCGCTAGAGAGAGACAGAATGAGATAGAGAGAGACAAAGGCATAAAGAGAGTGAAAGAAAGTGTTAAGCCCTGCACCACAGACATGCGTTACAAATCCCCAGGGACCCGGTGGCAGATCAGTACAGGATCAATCTGCTGCACCTCAGCAGGGACGCAGCACACTCCGTACATTCCCACACACACCACTCGTGTGTGTGTGTTAGTGTGTTACTGTACTGTGTGTGTGTGTGTGTGTGTGTGTGTGTGTGTGTGTGTGTGTGTGTGTGTGTGTGTGTGTGTGTGTGTGTGTGTGTGTGTGTGTGTGTGTGTGACCATGAAGAAGTGATTTCAAGACTGGGAGGTGCTGTAGCAGGAGGAGAAGAAAGATGGAGGGGAAAACAATGGAGCAGGTGGGGAGTTGAACAGAGATAGATAGCTGTGTTGGGTGCAGATATTAATCAACTGACCTGACCAATCCAGATCATGCTTTTTTTTACAACTTCAATATAAAACGCATAATTGAGTAGCATTCACTAAATATAATGTACATATAATCAAATGAAAGTATTTTCCTGTATTCTATAATTCATAAAAAAGCTCTAAAGCAAATACATCACTGCTGGCATCTAACCGTTCCCAACACTAAGATAAATGATCGTATGATTGATAGGAACTCCCACGTGGGAGATCAAAGATCAGTTTATCTCTTCCACTATCCCATCACAGCCATTAGAGAGAAAGCATAACACTGACCTCAGATCAGTGTTTGGGGACCTTGATCCAACTGCCTGTAACTCAATCTTATTAGAGCGTTAAGTCATTACTGCATGTACACACAGAGGCCTCACAATGCAATTAGCCATTAGCCCATCACGCTGACAAAGCATGGCTAATTAGCAGATCGCAGGCGCATCGGTAGCAGAGCAAAACATATTTAATATCCCCATCAACACTCTTGAAGAATATTATATGTCATGTACTGTTTAGATGTTTTGTCATGCTTGGTTGAGGAGCATTTTTTAAAGTACCTAGTCGTATTTTTGAAGATATGTATAACTAGCTTTGAAACAGATTAAAGATTTTCCACAAAGGACGATGAAAGTTAGA